GCTTAGACCTGTTTCAATTGAATGTACCAGGCTCTGCTGACTCCTCATGAGAGGCCTTACCTTGTCTGAGGAAGGAATGGGGAGTGGGTTGAGGGGGCAAGGCTGGGGGCAGAAGGAGGGAGGAGATGGGGGACCTGTGGTTGGCATGTAAAATTAATAAAAAATTTCTTAATTAAAAAAAGAAATATAACATTCCCAGCTACGCTAAAAAAAAAAAAAAAAAAGATTTTTCATGGGATCTTAGAGTGATCTGCCAGAGGAACTGGAGGAAAGGGTGCGACTGAGAGAAATAAAGCCCTCATCAAAGATGTTCACATCCTAATCTTTTGAACCTATGAATGATTAATTGCCCAGAAGGGAAGAGTACTCATCCAAAGAATTTATGGTCCACCATGACATCATTATGGGAGTGTAAGGAAGTTATTTAATTTTCCTCCCTGAGCCTTTTTTTCTCGTCATTATAGTGGGTTAACACTAGCCAACTCAAGATTCTTTTAAAGCACAATGTGTTTATATGACTATGTGGGGTTGCCAGTGGATTTTTAAAATCTGTATATATATTATTTTTATGAGCGCGCGCGCGCGCGCGTGTGTGTGTGTGTGTGTGTGTGTGTGTGTGTGTGTGTGTGTATGTGTGTGTCTGCCTCAGGTGTCACTCTTCAGTTTCTCAGGTGCTATCCACATTAGGTTTTTTTGTTGAGACAAGGTCTTTTTTTTTCAAATGTATATTGGTGTTTTGCCTGTATGTATGTCTATGTGAGGGTGCCAAATCCCCTGGAGTTACAGACAGCTGTGAGCCGCCATGTGGGTGCTGGGAATTGAACACAGGACCTCTGGAAGAGCAGCCAGTGCTCTTAATCACTGAGCCATCTCTCCATCTCTCCAGCTCCCTCTTATGAGCATTTTTTAGAGTACATGATGGTGTGGACAGGGTTTGTGGGTGTCTTTCAAGGACTCGCATTGCTAAAAGCTATGTTCCTTGTGTGGCAGCAGCAGGGCATTAAAGAGATGGAGTTCAGTGGGAGCTGGTTGGGTTGTTGGGGGTAGAAGTTGGACGAGATTAAAATAGTTATCAGGCTCTGAGCTACTTGTTGTGAGAGTCAGTTGTCATAACAGAGCTCCTATGACTCTGACTCTGGCTTCATGGGTCACCAGGTAATCTCTCCTGCTTGCTTTGTGCTTGTTACTATGATACACCATGAGGTGACTTAGCCAATGGGGCCTTCATTGGTGCCAGTGCCATGATGTTTGGATTTTAGCTTTCAGATTTGTGAGCTAATTAAATTGATGACTCTAAATTGACATGTCCTATCATCCTATGATGGTTAATCTTTCACTGTCTTGATTTAGAATCGCCTAAGAGATACATCTTTAGGTGCACCTGTGAAGGTGTTACCAGAGATGCTTAAGCAGAGAAGATACATTCTAAATGTGGGTAGAACTTTCACAGGGGCTGAGGTTCTAGACTGAATATAAGAGGGTAAAGAGAAAGTGTTCTGAGAATCAGTATTCATCTCTTTCTGCTTCCTGACTGCAGGAACAGGTTGAGCCTTGTGCTTCTGTAGTCATATCTGCTGAGCCATAATGGATCGTAATTCCTCAAATCATAATCATACTCCCCAAACCTCTGTTCTTTCTTTAAACTGTTTTTATATTGGTATTTTGTCATAGCCGTGAGTACAATAAAATACCCCAAGTTCATACCTTATATTAGGATTCATCTTTAATATTGTATATCTATGGATTAGGAGAAATGAATAATGTAATTTACTATTATAGAGTCAGAATATTTTCAGTACCTTAAAAATCTTTGCTAGTCTAGCCATTCTTCCATCCTTCCCAACTGTCTGGCTTTCTAAAAAACAACTAGCCTGCCTACTTATGCATCTATTAGTTTGTATCCCACCAGTCATGAGTGACAGTTGCTGCCCATCTGCCCCTCACTAGCATCACATGTTCTCAGGCTTTTGCATTTTGGCTATTCCAATTGTGTGTCCACTTCTGACATTAAATAAGATCATGCCTCTGAGTTACCCAGCTTCGAGCCCAGGCCCTCCACCCTCTCTAGCACTTAGTGTCAAGATACAGTTCAAGTGTCCCAAAAGAAGAGAAAAGGAAGAAAAGAAATTAGTGGAGAGAAAGTATTGATCCTGCAGAATCTAGGACAGGGAATCCACACCATCTAGTATTGTTTGGGACAGAGATTCTGGCTCTATAGTCTACATAAACTTTCATAAATAAAGGTGTGTAGGGCTCTGGCATTTTGTCTTTCAGAGAAAGAGAAGGAAAGGAATGAGATGGTGTATGGAGAACAGAAGGAAGAGACAGGAGGAGAGACGAAGAGAAGGAACACAGTGGGAACTGGTCTAGACAGAAGTGCTGCTGGGGTTTCCTCCTCCAAAGCACTTTCTGCTCAGAGATGTGGGGGGGGCGGTTGGCAAAGAAAATGTAGCCCTCTGCTCCTCCTCTTTTGTGTCTCTGGTTTACGTTATTCTTCTTATCAGTTTAGTACTGTATTATATCCAACTCTCATACAAATGTACGTTGACTAATTGCACCAAGGCCACTTGTACCATGATGGCAAGGCTTAGGGAAGACACTTCTTTGTCAAATTCCAAAGGTTAAGATGGACCTTTGAGAAGCACTGGGGACATACTGTTTGAGGAGAGTACCTATAAGTAGATTATTTTAAGTTGCTTGTCCTTTCATTGGTCATAATTTTTTTTTTCTAATGTGTATGGGTGAGATGTTCCCCACAAAGACAATGTTGCTCTTTGTAGACGGGTATTCAAGATCCTAGCAATGTGCTTGAACAATGGGAAATGCAGGCTTTAAATCCTGGACAACAGCTTGTCTCCCTTCAGCCTTTACAGCCGGCGTAGCTTCAAGTCTACAGAGTTATAAGTGCAGTGGAATGATTTAAACATCCAATCAAAACCATTGCTAGAGTTTGTGTTCAAAATAATCTCTTGATTAAATTTTGTGATATTGTAAACCTTTTTTTTAAATGGTTAGGACAAGGCTATTTTTGGAATATTATCAACTTGTAAGAAATGAGTAGAATAAAAAACTATTTTTAGTCTATTAGTAAATTTTTATGGGAAAAGCACAAAGAGAAACTTCACAAAATACTGTTCTTTTATAGGAGTATTTACAATAGACAGGATGACTTATGTGCAATATACCCAGCTTCAAATTATCATAAGATTCTTTCCCCAGCTTCTTTTTCAAGTCAACCTAAAATTGAGTTAAATATCATTTAGAGACACTAGCTATTGAGATTTTTCAATGCTCTTAAAATGAAAGAGCAAAGTCTTCTAAAGTGATTATGACATGCTTAAGTAAATATTTTCCCCAAAGGTTCACTGTATAATTTAACTTGAGAAGATATGGGTAAACACAGACCTGCTGCAATATTTTAGTGAGTAATTTACTATTTCCTCTAATTTGGAAAGCCCTTTAAAACATACAGAATCTGCTGCGATTTCCCATAACACCACTTTTTCTGAAGGCTTTCTACAGCTGGATAACCAACAGTGCTCACAAATCTGTTCATCAATGGGCTCAGAAACCCTAAGGGGGAAACCCAAGTCTCTGCATCTTTTCATTTTCACTCTATCTGACCTTTGCTTCATTGACCCCCACATGACTTCACAACCGAGTTTACAGATCTGAAGACATTTCTGTGAACAGTATTCCAACTCTAGTAAAAGTGTGTGTGTGTTTAAGTCAAGATTTACCACGAATTAAGAGCTTTAAGGCTGACCTAGAAGAATGATAAGCAGGGTTAGCTTCCCCTGGAAGGCAGCTCAGTTGAGTATTCTAGAGTTACTCATGAAAGACCTCTGCTGTCACCACTCAGACTGAAGTAAAAACTCAATAAAAAAGAAAATGCTGGGAACTAACTATGCACACAATGTTAACGTGACATACTGCAAAAATCTGGGTAGATCAAGTGGCTACACCACACAGCCATAGTGCCAATTTGGAAAATCTCCAGAGAAACAGCTGCATTTGATTGTATAACCTGTCTTGCTTGTGTAAGAAACTCCAGAATTTCAGGGTGTGCTGGGATGTGGACAAAACTGGTAAAAGTGACATGAACATCTCACTGGGAAGTAGCAGGACAGTGACACCTGTAGAAATCACACGTGTGTATGACAAACCCATATTAACTTCAAAGATGCCATCATTCATTTCTCCTACCAGAGAATGGTGAAGAATCTAAAGTGACATCAGCTCTGCTAGCTGATCCAGAAAATGCCTACACTTTGCTACTATATTCTCAGATTACCTGTGAATACCTCCACTTCTGGCATTTGGTAGCAACTGGCTGAGGCAAACCCGGCAGAATGGTTTCCAGTTGCTGGCTGATTAACTCCTGCACCTCCTCCTCACTGTGCTCCAAGTACGTAACTCCAAATGGGACAGTGGTGTGGATCACCAGGGACGGACCAAATTCTGATGACTCTGCAGTGTGAGAGGAACAGAAAGATACGTGTTAAAGCAGGGGAATTCGGAATCACAGTCCAGGGTTTGAATCCGTAGTTAGAAAGTGATCATGATAGCCAGAGGACAGACTAATGGCTCCAGCGTATATCAGGCTGTTTCTGAACCAGCTTTGGCTCTCCTGGGGAGAAAGGCAGGTTGCAGATACGCTTTAGAAAACAAGATGTCAGGTCTTTCTAAGAAACTCGAAGAGTCGCTAAGAACCTCCTGCCCCGGGTACAGTTAAATTCATTGGTATTTTTTATATTCTTTTATTATCAAGTTGTAAACCTTTTATATATTATATTATACATGTTCTATTTTCTTAAGTTCTGAGAATGAAATGGTTGCTCAAAAAGATATTTATGTTAGGAAGACTGCAAAATACTTTACTAAAATTATAACAATTCTACATTATGTTTAGCACTTTGAAAAAGAATTTATCTCTTTGAAATGAGAATTTTCCTCCTAATGTTATTTCTTGTATCTTTTGTGTGTATGTGAGACAAGGTCATATTAAGTAGCCCAGGCTGGCCTTAAACTTGAGATCACCTCCTTCATGCTCTTAAGTGGCGAGTTGTGCCACTATGCTTTATCTTCCAGTTAACAAAAGAAATAGAAGTCTTTCCCATCTATAACTCCTCCTTTTATTTGTCACTGAATTTGTTTTTGCTGTATTTTCATGAGTAAAAAAATGAGTTTGGAAGAACATAAGGTAACCAATAAAGCATGAAGTTAAAGGCATTTAGGAAACTAAGTCATTAGAAAATATAATTTTGGAGAGAACGGTAACATGACTTTGGTTTAAATAATATTAATGAAAAGTTAGGAAGAATATATTTATGTAGTAAGGCACTGATGGATTGGCAACTTGATTCTAAATGTCTCTAATTTTGTATTATAAGAGCTTATACTATTTGAGCTATATTGATTCATTTCTACCTACAAAAGTATAAGGTTGAGTGGCATAAGCCAATCACTTCGCATATGCCCAGTTAGCCTCTCTATATTTTAGAGATTTATTTTTTTCTTTTCTGTAAAATCAGAATAAGCTTGTACTTACCTAGGTTTACAAAGTAGATGCTTCATAAAAGTAAGATACAGGATGAAGGCAATAATTCACTTAAAAGGGCAACATTCTTAGGTGTTGCTCAAATTATAGCCATGAATTATTTTTAATATAAGTGCTTCATTTTCCCATTTCACTCAGCTCAAGGAACTCTGGCTTATGGATTTTAAAGATAAACACAAGGGATAGTCTCAAAATGCTATAAACTTTTCTAAAGTGCAATCAGTGCTTATATCAAATCCCATGTGTATCATATGTATGAGGTTGGGGTATGGACAGAGACACTGTGCTCTAAGTGCATGGTGAATCAGATTGTCCACCGTTCACCTCACTGTAACTGGAACAACAGAACTAAGCAGTGGAGAAGACATCCCTAGAATGCTGAGTCTTTCTTCTGTGAGTGCAGACTTCACAGGCCCTGCACAGAGGGAAAGACTCATCAGTGCTAAGGCAGGCATAGTCTATCTAAGGGGGCTTAGGAGCCCTTTAATATACTAAACCGGGGGAGGGGAGCCGTGGGAATTTGTGGAGGCCCAAATTACTCAGGGTTAGAGAATCTGAGCTTGCTTTCCACAGCAGCGTCTCATAAGGGGATGATCTGACCATGGGCTTGGTTACCAGGTGTTTGGAAGGGGCTACACTTGGCTGTGCAGTGTGCTTCGATCTAGCAAGGGGGAGGTCCTTTGCCCTGCCCCTTGACATTGTTATAAAAGGCCCTTTTGAAGAGGCAGAAGGGACCGTTGGGTTTTGATCCAGGTCCTCCTGAAGCTATCCTGTGTTTCTGTCTTTCTCCTCTTTGCTATCTTTCTATCTAGTATTTCTTATCTCCCTCATAGGAACTCTTGAAAAGGTGGGAGCCGGCCTCCTACAAGTGTGAAACTGCAAGTTCTTCCAGGGACTGCTCCCACAGTAAGAACTCCTTGGCATGCTGCCTTTGTAGTTTGATGGTTTAAAAGGTGAGAGCCGTCTGTGCACCTGTAGTTGGTCTTCTTTGCTTCCTGCTGCTGATGGAACGTGATCAGCTGCTTCAACTCCTGCTGCCATGACTTCCCCACTATGATGAACTGCACCCTGAACTGTGAGCCAAATAACCCCTTCCTTACTTAAATTCATTTGCTAGGGTGTTTGATCACAACAACAGGAAAAGCACCTAAGACAGTAGATGCTATTTACATGTCAGTTAATAACTTTATTAAATATCAGTTAAAAAACTCATGAAGTTTGTTCACAGCGGAGGTTGCAATGCCATTCTCCATTAAGTGGTACCAAATCTTCCTAGAGACAGAAAGATACCTCATCAGCGTTGGGAAGCAGGAGAATAGAGCTCTGCTTGCTATCACGGGCAGGCTTTAAACGGACACAAATGCTAGAGATGTGCTGAGAGCATCAAGAGGTGCTCTCCTCCAGTCACTGAGACCAACAATGGTGCATGATGAGTTTTGCCCGGTTACAATAGCCATCTCCCACCAGGAGATCAATACAAAATGGAACCTTAAAACTCAAATTGAAACGGTTCTTACATAATAATGAAAAAAAAAAAACAGTGAATAACCTGGTTACTTTTTATTCTTGGAATTGAACATATTTTGAGGATTTATGTTAAAATTTACACTAAAGAATAAGTTTAAAAGCAAATGACTACAACCCCCAAACTAAAAGTCACTTTTCGAAGCTAAAGTGAAAAAAGAAGATACAAAGAGTCGACTAGAGTTTAAACACAACCAAGGTTTGGAAACAGGAAATCACAAAGAACAATAAATATGTTACTAGGATTTAGGTCTCATGGGGACAGACAAGAGAGGGCAATGGAGGAAAAGACAAACTATCATGTTTTCCTTCATATGCAGTTTGTAGACATGAGTAAACATATATGTATAGGTTACCAGGCTGCATAAAAGAGACTTTTGCTGAGTAAGACTAATAAGAATGGAGGAGACAGGATGGGGGGGGGCAATAAATAGCAGGGCCGACAAAAGCTATGCGGTGACATGTATGTGTGACACTGTCATGATGAAACCTTTATTTTGCACGCTACCTAAAAAGTTACTAAAGAAAGCAAAATTTGAACTAAACTGTGTTGGTAAAATGTGATCTATATGTTGCATTAAAATCTGTCAAATGACCTCATAGTCTATCCTTTCAAATGTTACATTTGATTTTGAATATAATATTTTGGATGTTGAATTAGCTTTTGTGTATGTATGTGTTTGTGCCCAATGGTCATACATGTACATGTGTAGTTAAAAACAGTCTTGAGTGTTGGTATTCATTTCCTTTTTTTTTTTTTTTAGTTTGGTAGATGAAAGAAAGCATTTCAGTATCAATAGGTAAGGCTAATAATAGGCTAATAATAACACTAGAAAACTGAGAAAATAATTTTTGATAGAAAAACATGGTTCTGCTTATAATTCTAATTGCTACATTCTGCATAAAAGAAAGAGTTGTGTTGCAAAAGTGATTAAAAACCACATTTAGTTTTCCATTTGTAGGCTATTAGAACAAAGATCCCTATATTGAGAGTTTGAACAAGATCATCTCTTGGTTACATCTTCAAGTGCTTTTAAAGGTACCTAAAAAAATTACTGAGTGATAGTGCCTCAGATTTCCTATTTAGAAAGATTATAATTGAATGAGGGTTAAGAGACTTGAGTTCTTGGATATTTAAAAAAACACATGGGAAAAGACAGAGGTCATGCTAGCCAGGAAGGCAGGAAAAAAACTCTCTGTACAACTCGTGTCATGGAGATTTCAAGATTGCCACCCTCATTACAACTTGGCTTGCCCAGGACAGTAGGCTGCTGCCCTTGACCCACAATGACACAATTCAAGTTGTAAAATGCTCTGGTAAAGAATCCTGGGTCGGTTCAGTAAACCTTCCATCAGAGTTGCAAGGGTAGCAGCCATTGTCTTGTTCAAAGAAAATGACAGTCTTGCAACCATCTCACTGGAGTTGAATGATCTCAGGTTATTTGCAGGCAGCAATTTTACCTTACAAGCAACATCTGACCTCTTGATGTTTAGGAGCCCTGCCATCAGTTAGATGATTGTACCTCCTTTTGTTCTCATAAAATTCTGTGTTACCTTTCTACCTTTTATTGGAGATGGGCTCTCTCATTGTCTTGGAACTCTGCCACATAGGTCTGGCTTGATGGCCATGAGTTTACTGGGATCTGCCTGTCTCTGCTTCCCGTCTTGTCAGTAGTGGGACTACAGGTGTGTGCCACAGCACCCAGGATTTTAAGTGGTCCTGAGCATCCAAAAGCAGTCCTCGTGCTTGTGCAGTAAGTGATTTACCCATAAGCCATCTCCTCTAAATTAACATTTTACACTAGTATAACATTAATTTTGAGATTCTTAGCAACTAAATTCTGACAATTGACTGTCAGTCAATGAGAGAAATGTCTGATGGTAGTACCTTTGGCAATTTCTCCTGTCCTTTTAAAAATCAATTTCTGCTTTCTATTGATGTTACATTATTAGTTTCCTAGTTTCCTGATATTTGAACATTTTAATAACATATTTTGAACCTTATAAATACCTAGAATTGTTTTTGGTTGAAATCTTATTTTTTCTTTGTATATGATTTTTTTCAGTGTGAGTTGCTTTTTGAAAATTATATAAAGCTTATCTTTTTGTTATGCATTTTTTTTT